TTGCAGATAGGATTTTTGCCTTTACTTGACACCCTCTAGAAAAAAGGTGAAGAAAATTCTCCGACTCTGTCTGATTGACCTCTATTGGAGTAGTAATGGACATTGTCTTCGTATATGATAGATCGCACGATATTCCTGCAACTTGTTCAATTAAATGTTCACGAGTACACGACCAGTTCGTTATACATAACTCTTTATTAAAGAAATTCGCAAACTATGATTTCCACTAGATATTATGCCCTTGTTTGGGCTCCATTTTTCTAGAAATTTATTTTGAATCACACGTTTTCTCATAAAATAATTTTATACTTAAACCGAAAATTATTCTTTATTTTTTAACTATACATTCTCCAAAAATATTATTATTCCAAAACACATATTCGCCTGAAAGTACTGCGGGTATCAAATGGTGAATTTATTCAATATTATGAGACTAAAATTTTGAATTTTCTTTGCAGGGATTTGTCATTATTCGTCTGCTTGGTACTTTCCTCAAGAGTTTTAGGTGCCATTTCATTAGTTAAATTATATGTAACTTGTTAAATGGTATATCATTGTTTTCTCCCCGAGAAACGCGGCCGGGTAGCCGAACATGGTAAATTTGAAGTTCGCGGGTGCGTCCTGATGTTTCCTTCGAGTTTGTAATGTACAGAACAGTACATATATTGAGTAATGTAATCCCAGTTTGTATAAATCATTGTTTATACATTAGTTTTAAGTCTTTTTAAAAGAAAAGAGAAGGGTTTATTTTTTCCTATTTGGTTCCTCTTGATGATTTTAACCAGACGCCACTTGGTCGTACTCTACTTCGGTTTGTGGGTAACCCAAATTACGGTAGATGTAGTAATAACTGAAAAAGTTGTATTAATTTGTTGAGAGGACGTAAAAGAAAGACTTACTAGTCCAAAGGTACGTAGGAACTTTTCACCATAAAATGCCCTGCCCAACAAGGGCCAACTAAAGAGGAGTGAGTTTTTGTGATAAATAACACGTAAATAATTCAGTTCCACTGGAAGGACTAGATAGTTCTACATTGTACTAAAGGTGAAATAAAGTTGAGATTGGGTGTATTTGAGTTACATTATTTTGGAAAGTTGTATTTTGGAATAATAGATTGATGGAGAATGTGTGATTGAAAAAGAAAAAAAAGTTATTGATGTGATGGAAAATATTATTTTATTGAAGAATGTGATTGAAAATAAGTAGAAGAATGAGAATGAAAATTTTAAAGCGACTCAAATAAGGGCACATGTATTATTGTTTAATCTTGTTTAGTACTGAATACACATGCAATTTGGGTAAAAGGAAGTTTGCTTGGTAAAAAATTTAGGAGGGTAAATATTGTGAAAGGGTTCAATTCATAAATTTTATATAAGTAAACTGTAATTACCTAATAAAAAAAGCGGAAATTTCATAAAACCAAAATTTTAAAGTTACAATTTCAAATTTAAAATATAAACTATATTTATACAAAAATCAGATATTAATTCAAATCTTTAATATTACCCAAACCCTAAAAATCCTAAACCATTACCCACATCTTCCTTCTCTCTTCCTCTCCCTCTCTATCCATCCGGCGGCTTTGACGAGTAAAAAGAAAGGCTACCTCGACGACCAACCAGTAAGCTGCATACGATCGGCGCAACGGTGCCTCGCAGCGGCAACAGCACCGTTGCACACGATCGTCGCGCGGCGTTTGCGACGTTCACGCAGCTTCAAGTGGAACCTGTGTTGCCACTACTCTCCCTTTCCTCTCCTTTTCCATTTTCTTTCTGTCGCGACGTGTGGGGCTGTCTAAATGTTGGTGGTGATAGAGTGCTATGGGTGGTATAGTGTTCGGTGGTGGTATGTTGTTGGCGTGGCGATAGATCTGTGGTGAGGTGGTGGTTGGGTGTGGTGTAAATGGAGATGGAGAAGATTGTGGTGGTGCCATGGTGGTGTGCTGTGGGTGGTGCGGTGTGCAGTGGTGGTGGTGTGCCGTGGGCGTGGCGATGGATCTGTGGTGAGGTGGTGGTTGGGTGTGGTGTAAATGGAGATAGAGAAATGGTGGTCGTGTGTTGTGGGTGGTTCGGTGTGCAGTGGTGGTGGTGATGGATCTGTGTTGCGACGGCGGTGGCAATGATGGTAGGGTTGTGAATTTTTTTTGGTTTATAGGATGTGGAGTGGTAGTGGAGGTTCAATGGTTTAGTGGTGGTGGTGGTGTCGGTATTTTTTAGATGATGGTTTGCTGTCGAGAGGCGGTGGTGGTTTCAACGAAAGGGTTTCAGTTGCCATGCTGTTGGTGATAGTGGTGAGGCGGTAATCTCAAGTGTTGGTGGTGGTCACAAATTATTTGGTTGTTTGTGACCATTAAATTGATTAATCTGTAACCGATAAATAATATTCGATTAATGAAAAAAATAAATTATGACTAAAAAATAATGTGTGACCTAAAAACTTGTTAATTTGTGACCAATAATTTTATAATTTGTGATCGTCTAATAAGTTGTCTTATAATATTTGTGATTTGTGACCTATAAATAAATTGTGACATTTCAATTTTTAATTTGTGACCGATGATCAAATTGTGACATATAAAATTTTTGAATTGTGACATTAAAATAATATTTGATATATAAAATTTGTGATTTGTAACCAATGAATAATACTTGACTTATTAATTTTATAAATTCCTAACTGATGAAAAAATTGTAACCTATAAAATTTTCGACTTGAGATTATGAAATAATTTGTGATCTATAAATTTTTTTATTGTGAATGAGAAATAATTTGTGACTAATTAATTTATAATTTGTGACCAAATTNATAATTTGTGATCTATAAATTTTTTTATTGTGAATGAGAAATAATTTGTGACTAATTAATTTATAATTTGTGACCAAATTATATAAAATTGTGGCCTTAATATATTTATTTAATTAATTTATAAATAATTTTTTAAAAAATTTGACATTTGAAATTTTAAACCTTATGTTTTTAAATTTGAAATGGGTGAAACTTCTCATTTATGAATTTTTCTAAAAAAAAAAAAAAATGGGGAGTATTTTCACCGTGGCTGTGTTTGAAAAACCATTTTTTCCTTGGAACTTGAAAAAAGAATTCATTTTTCTTGCATTTGGCTTGTTTGAAAAGCCAAATTTTCCATGGCTTTTGTTTTCTTGCTAGGTAGCCCGTTTGTGTTTCAATTTTTTTTGTTTTTTTGCAATGAAAACAAATTTTATAATTAATTGTAAAAAAAAATGGATAATTTTCATATAAAATAAGCCAAACGAATACTAAACTTTGATAAAAAAAATGATTTTTTGAGGAAAAAAATTTTCATTTTTTTTTTTTTACTTTTTGGCAATGGATACAATTTTTATAACTAATTGTGGAAAAAATTATCACTTTTATGGACAATTTTCATATAAAACAAAGCCAAACGAATACAAAATTTCAAAATTTTTTGGGTGGAAAATTATACCAATCAAACACACTTAATAAACAAGTCATTGCAAAACAATTAATAAGCAATTATTTTCCTTGAAATTCATTTTCTTTCCACTCATTTTCCACCATTGCAATCAAACGGACCCTAAAAGTACAAATTTGATGTGGGAAAAATTCATTTATCCTACTTTATCTTTACCCTATTTCAAAAATAACAAAACAACTTTCACATTTCAAAAATCAGATTTTTTGACCTATACATACACATATTTTTAAATATTTATTTATATATTTAAATTTATAAAAAGATATAAATAAATAAATAAATAAATAAATATATATATAATTAACCCATCCCCACCCCCACCACCACCACCACCACCACCACC